TAAAATTTTTTAATTTCTTTTCTTTTTTTTTTTTACTTGTTTTTTTTTTTTTTTTTTTTTTTTTTTTTTTAAATAGTTTTATTGTGTTTTTCACATTTTAGCAGTTTTGCCAGTTTTGCCAGTTTTGCCATTTTACCATTTTAATTTTTTTTTTTTGGCAAAAGTAGAAACTAGTTTTGACTTTTGCCAATAGCAAAACCTCTAGATTTTGCCTAACAACACTATTTAGCCCTTAACAAAAAATTTTGGGACATGTATAGTCAGAAATTGAGTTGCTCTTGAATAAAGCATTTGGAAATAGTTTGCCAGACAATATTAAAGAAGAATTAATTATGTGATTAAAAAACAAAAATGATAGATATTTTTTTCATCCTAGACAATCCGAAGGGATTTTTAACACAGCACGTGTCTTGTACAGTATTAGAAAATTTTTGGAACAAAAGGAAGAATCAGATAATAGTTGGAATTCTTTAATAACTCATGAGGCACTTCTTGATTTTCCCTCTAACCCTCAAACACTTCCCTCTCAAATTTCACTGGATTTAATCGTTAACAACCTCCTTGGTAAATCCATCCTTACAGAAGCACTTGCTCGGCATCCTCTCGAATCCAAAGATGGTATAGCTCAATGATTTAGACTCACCAATATTCGCGAATTAGCAACTGATTATGCACCACTACTTTCATTTATGTTTTATATCGGAGCCATTACATATCAACCTAGCTTATTGACCAAACATTATTTTTGAATACCTAATCATCTTACTGAAAAGGAATTTATTAGGGAAGCATTAAAAATTTACGATTGGAGAGAAGATGATTTAATTCCTGTACGGGGTTATTTGCAAATTTTAGGGGCCAATAATAATATCAAACCTCTTTGTCGTTTTATTGAGAATACTTTATTAAAACCTTAAAAGATAATAGTATAGTATATTCTAATGAAGAAGCCCTAAAGCAAGCATTTATGGATGCTATGATTCTTACTCTCCATGCTGATATCGAGCCAGAATTTCAAGAATATTTTCAAAGTCCTGATTTATATGGAATGGCGATTAATTTAGTAAAGACTAGTATGAGGAAAAGAATAGCAATTGAATTTGATAATATCCAAATGAAAAAAATTCTATTAGATGGAGCTAGTAGTCATTAGCAGGATGCTACCAAAGTATCACAATCATTATTAGAAAAATCAGAAGAAGAAATCTTGGGATTAAAAAATCAATGATGAGCACTGAAAAGGACAAAAACAGTTGCGGAAGCTTTAGAATATAAGATTAATATGAAAAAAAAATATCTTGAACCATTAAGCAAAAGAAATGATGCAGATTTAAAAAGCATGTTTATTGTTTTAAGAGTGGGTTTACACCATTTAATCAGTAGAAGAATTTATTGTAATTATGAATAACTATTTTACATTTTATATATGCATGAGTATTGTTCATTTCATTCTATTAACCTTCGCGTACATGATTCAGTAAATAAAAACTAAGACTTTGCATTAATAATCTCACAAATATATTAATCATTACTTGATTACGAAATGCAATAAATTTTTTATTTTGCTATTCCAAAAAACATGAGGAAACGTTGATATGTCACAAAATCATTACACAATTGATGAAAAATTTTTTTATATTATTTTACAATACTTTTTTGGAAGGCTCGCTTGACTTAATTTTTCTATGAATATTGAAAATGATTAAACAAACATGAAGCTCTCACTTTGCTTTACAACATATTTTTTGAATCCCCTTGAATCCCATGGTTTCGTCTTTT